GAGCTTGACCTCCTGTTTGTAATCTCTCCACTTTGACGGATCGCCGTGCCAGGTAGGGATGGCGCTGCACGCATAGTTGTCTGCCATGTTGTCAATATTAGAATAGTGAGCCGCGTCGCTGACATTGGCGTCGAAAGAGAAATAGGCGTTCATGCTGGCGTCGCTGACGCTGGCGTTGGAGAGGTAGGCGAAGTAGTCGTTGATGCTTGCGTCGCTGACGCTGGCGTTGGAAAGGTAGGCGTTGACGCATGCGTCGCTGACGCTGGCGTAGGAGACGTAGGCGTTGATGCTTGCGTCGCTGACGCTGGCGTAGGAGAAGTAGGCTATGATGCTTGCGTCGCTGACGCTGGCGTAGGAGAAGTAGGCGTAATAGTCGTTGATGACGGCGTCGCTGACGCTGTCGTGGGATAAGTAGGCGTCGACGTCGGCGTCGCTGACGCTGGCGTAGGGGAAGTAGGCGTTCGAGGCGTAGGTGCTGGCGTCGCTGACGCTGGCGTAGGAGTTGGCAGGGTAGGCGTTGGTGCTGGCGTCGCTGACGCTGGCGTAGGCGCTGAGCAACAGCGCAAGCCGCTGGGCTTCGTCTCCGTGGCTCGCGACGGCTTCGTCTTGGCTGGATATGGAGCGGCGCGCGGCGCCAGGATATGAAATGGCGCGCGGCGCCAGGCAACTGAGACTCGCTCCAAGCTACCACTGTGCCATGGAAGGTTGGCGATAAATCTTCTTACTCGCGCGGCGAGGGGCGTAGCTCTAAGGCCGAGGGCTCGAGTTCGAAATACAACGGCGGCGGTGAGAGCACGGAATGAAACCACAAGGCCCTCGAGGCTTCTGGGGGGAACCCTCTCGGGCCTCTTACATTCCTGGGGAGTGAGCTTGATTCGCACGCCTCGACACTGATATTCTGTCGTCCATGCTGCAAAGTGAGTGGTGCCAATGGAGCGGGGCGCGCATCCCGCGCGAAAGCCGACATTCAGCTCTCGCTTCGGCGCCGCGCTCACTCTTTCTAGCGAGGTGAGCTCCCGTTCGGGCGCGGCGCACACTTCTTGGCGCGCCGCTTCGTCGATGCGCGAGCGGACGCAAATGCCGCTCTCGCCTCGGCGCCGCGCAGACTTCGCCTGAAAGTGGCGTTCCCGCTTCGACGCGGCGCCTGCTTGTCACTCGCCAGCTGTTGGGGGCCCGCGCGAGTGGGCGGTTGGCTGCCCTCGCCCAAACGTCATGCGCATGTGGGTCATGCGTTTGAGCGCGGGCGCAGCGCATGGCTCGCTCGCCGCAGCGTGGAAGCGACAGCGGGGCCGCGCGAGAGCGGGCGGAAGGGCGACCTGGCCCAACACGCCGCGCAGTTTGCGAGGGACGACGGGCACACCTCCGGCCACGCCTCGGCTCTCTTAGCCCCATCCCTGCTCCCCTCTCTTCCGTCAACCTTTCTCTCCCCCGAGGATGACCGTGTCATCGCCAGCCCCTTTTCCGCGTGATGTTTTCCAGGAGGGAAGCAACAACACACAGACACAGTGAATCGTCGATCCCCAGGAACATGTGGGGAACTAGGGGAAGTTGATTGGGAAACGGGCGTCAAGAACATATATGAAGAAGACGGGGAATCCTGGGAACAGGTGTCTATTTCGCTGCGTGCCCCAGGGCAACCTTCAGTTTTTGCACACGCAGGAGTTCATCAGTTGGCATGCCCCTCTTCTGTGTTCCTTCGAAGCGCTTTTTGTTGTTTCACCACGGCGCATCCGCTGCAGCAGCGGCCTCTTTTTCTTTGCGTTACGCCTGTTCTCGTCGCTCACGAGCGCGGGTCCCTTATTTTCTAGGTCCTGACGTATCCTCATCGTTGTCGCCTCCCTCTTTCCCCTCCTCCGCCCTCCGCTGGTCCTCCTGTTCGTCCTCGTCCTCCTCTCTCCTCGTCCTCGTCCTCCTCCTCCTCCTCCTCCTCCTGCTCCTCCTCCTGCTCCTGCTCCTGCTCGTCCTCCTGCTCATCCGCCGGCTCCTCCTCCAATGTGCCCGGCTGCTCTTTTTTTCCGACCGTGCGCAGCTTGAAGGTTTACTTTTTGGATTTCCAGGTCCGATATGACACCCCACGGCAGACAGAGAAGAAATCAGCGGAATGGGAAGGGATGGGTGGGAGGGGTAGGATGTCAGATATGGCGCGAGCGCACCTAGCTTGTCTTCCCCTCTCTCCTCCTCCTCCTCCTCCTCCTCCTCCTCCTCCTCCTCCTCCTCCTCCTCCTCCTCCTCCCTTCACCGCCCGTCCTCCTCCTCCTCCTCCTCCTCCTCCTCCTCCTCCTCCTCCTCCTCCTCCTCCTCCTCCTCCTCCTCCTCCTCCTCCTCCTCCTCCTCCTCCTCCTCCTCCTCCTCCTCTTCCCCACCTCGCCCAGGCCAGCCCACCGCGGCGGGAGAGGAGGAGAGGAGCAACTGCAGCAGCAGCAGCAGAATGAGCACCGAGAGGAGGCAGGGGACAAAGGACGAGGACGAGGGCGTGGAGGCCGAGCACAGACGAGACCGAAGAGGGCACGCCAGGGGAGGAGGACGAGGGAGCGGCGGCGGTGGAGGACGAAAGGAGTGGCAACAACAACAACAATCACAACAACCACAACAACACTACCAACATCAGAAACAACAGGACAAACAACACCACCAACCTCAACACCAACACCAACAACATCAACACCAACACCAACAACAACAGCACCAACACCACGACCACCACTAACAACAACAACAACCGCAACAATAACACCAATCAATGTACCCTCATGCGCAATGCTTCCACACGAAGCATGCGACCATTATATGATAATCATCCCCATCATGGGGGATTATTGATATATGGCGGGGGGTTGTTATTCCCATTCCCAGATCTCCCGCCCAATGAGGTTTTGCAAACACCTCCTCCCAGGAATTTCAACGTATCCAGCCTCGGAAACACATGCCCGCGCCCTGCTGCGCCGATGTGAGACCGCCAGCGGAGCCCAAGCCATGGGTAAAGCACAAGGAAGTAACGAGCGACAGGATTGGCTTGGTGGGGATGGGGGCTGTCGGCGGCGAGGCAAGGGCCTGGTCCTGAATAGAAACGGAGGAAATCTCGAGCAGGGGTGCTGTTGTTGCTGGGAGCGGCGCCACTTCAGAAGAGAGTAGGGCGCTAGTCCAGCGTAAAACCTAACGAAGTCTCGAGCGGGAGCGCTAGCTTTGTTGGGACGGCGGTTGTCGGTGGCGAGGAGGAACACCGCCTTGAGTAAGAAGGAAAGAACCCTCGAGCGGGAGCCGCGGTTTTGTCGGGGCGGGGGCTGTCGGCGGCGAGGAGCAGCACCGTCCTCAGAAAAAACGAGGAAGCCTAGAGCGGGAGCGTTGTTCTTGTTAGGGGCGGCGCCAATTCAGTAAAGAGTAGGGCGCCAGTCCATGGTAAAACGGGAGGAAGTCTCGGGCGGAAGCGCTGGTTTTGTTGGGGCGGCGGTTTTCGGCGGCGAGCAAGAACACCGGCTCTGAGTAAAAAAAGGGGAGTCTGGAGCGGGAGCGTTGTTTTTGTGGGGGGCGGCGCCCGTGAGAGAAAGAATAGCGCGCCAGTCCAAGGTAAAACGGGAAGAAGTCTCGAGCGGGAGCGTTGGTTTTGTTAGGGCGGCGGTTTCCGGCGGCGAGCAAAAGCACCAGCTCTGAGTTGAAGAAGAAGAAGAAGAAGTCTCGAGCGGGAGCGTTGTTGTTGTTGTTGAACATTATTACTTCTAAAGAATAATTATTGTTGGGACCCCTGGTGCATGGCCCCCCCGCCGCGCCTAGGCCGCAGCCACATTTTCATCATTTTCGTGAGGAAGTCTCAGGCAAAACGGGTTGGTCCGGATCCGGTTGTTTTGTTACGATCCGTTTTCCCTTGCAAAAAATAAGCTAAAGTGGACATTTCTTGTTCTAACATAACCAAACTTCAAGAATCCCTTGCAAAAAATAAGGTAAAGTGGACATTCGCGCGCGCAAGACGAAATCCTTCCAAAACCTTAGTTTTCGTAGCGATTTTAACATAAAAACATCAAAAAACCAATGGTTTTTTTTTTTAAAAATGTCAAAATTTCATCCCGCGCGCTCTTGCGGATTCGTAGGAAACCCAACACTTTTTAAACATTTCTGTCAAACGGGCTTTTGCGAGCAACTTTTTCGAACTTCTGCAACAACGGTTGCGCACCTGCCAGGGCCATCATCCCTGTCAAATAATACCATGCGGGACACATTCGTTTTTTCTTCGCGCGCGCACGCCGTCGTCGTCGGCCGCGGGGCCCTGAATAGTAGCCACGGTCGTCCGCATGCCACGAAGTGAAGTGTCCGAACGTCATAGGGCGGGAAGCTGGGTGTGGGTGGTGGCGAAGAGTCGTTTGGAAATTTGGTAGAGCTTGAACCGGCCCCCCCACAAAGTGGGGGTATTGCCCGCCTCCTATGAAAACCCTGGCACTGGTGAGAACGGAGTGTCCCCACGTGCTAGTAATTGTTGTTGTTGTTGTTGTTGTTGTTGTTGTTGTTGTTGTTGTTGTTGTTGTTGTTGTTGTTGTTGTTGTTGGGGGAGCCGTTGTAGTTCTCCCCAAACCGCTCGAGCGTGAGCCTTATTTCAATAAAGATGTAGCCGGCGCCGAGGCGAGAGCGCCAGGGCGCCTGGGGGGGTCCAACAATAATAATCGTTTAGCAATGAACATTCAACAACAACAACAACAACAACAACAATAACAACAACAACGACAACAAAAACCACGTCGACAACAAAACCATTAGTGTCAACAGCAACAACAGCAACAACAACAACAGCGGCAGCAACAACCAAAACAACAACAGCAGCCACAACAGCAGTTGCAGCAACGACACCAACCAGACATCATCAACGCCAACAACAGCAACATAAGCCACAACAGCAACTGCAACAACAACACCACCGGCAACAACAGCAACACCAACAACATAAAGTGACCCCCCCCTGGGCGGGGGGATTATTGGTGCCTGCCCGCCGACCGCCGGGCCCCGCGCCGCGCCAGAGCATGGCGCTCCTCCTCCGCGAGCATGGCTTCCTGACCACCGCCCGCGACAGCAACGGCCTCCTGGCGCCCCCGTGCCGAGATGACCGGCGGCGCCCGACGGCCGCGCCGCGCCCCGGGCAGCCCGGCGCGCGGCCGGTGGCGAGCGAACCCGTGCCACCCGCGGCCGAGCGCCTCTGAGGCCGCGCCGGGCAGAGGGGGAGGATGAGGAGGAGGATGAGGAGGAGGAGGAGGAGGAGGAGGAGGAGGAGGAGGGAGGAGGAGGGAGGAGGAGGAGGAGGAGGCGCCGGGCAGTCTCGACGACCACAGTCGAAGAAAGAAACGCGACATGTGAGCACAAGCTTTCGGCGCTCCGCACGGATTTCGTGGATCTGCGCTGGCCCCCCCTAGCGGCGCCTCCGGCGCCGCCCATTGCGCGCTCCGCGCGCCAGAGAAGGGGTACGTATCAGCGCGGATCCAAGAAATCCGCGCAGAGCGCCAACAGTATTTGTTTATTTCGTTTATTCTTCGTCTATACAGTGCAGCGTCGGTCGAAAGGGATATTGAAAGAGTGGGCACAGAGACCGGCAGCACTTCCTGCGCATCTTGGAGAGGACTCGCTATCGGTGTCGCCGCGGCCGGTGTCCATCTGAGGCAGAAGGCCGTTTCCCCAAAAGCGGCCGCTGTTGGTGTCGGGCAGCATCTGTTGTTGGGCATTGCGCCTAGTGTTTCCGAACCCATCCCGGGCGTCAAAATACAATGGTTGATAGGCCTGAAGGCAGGGAGGAGGGGAAGGAGGAGGAGGAGGAGGAAGAGGAGGAGGACCTCCTCCTCTCTCCTCCGTCCTACCCACGGTATTGGTGGTGGAAACTTGGCTCATCAATGGGAGGGGCTACACAGGGGTGTGGTTTTGCAATTGGCGCCCTTTGGGTTCTGGGGCCGCCACTCTGCGTCAGAGGTTTGATGTGAGCCCTCGTCGGGGCGCGGTGGAGGTGCCTGTCAAGGTCCTCGCCCGCCCCCCCCCCTGCGCGGGTTGCAGACCACACCCTTTGCAAACCGTAAGTCGGGCGTGTCCCTCTACAGGAGGCATATCCGAACATAGTCAAAACATAGTCAGGGGACGATCTTCCTACTATCTCTTGATTTGTGTTGGGGTATTTTTGGGCTATTGTCAATATTTCTGGCAAAACCCGCCTGTAGGAGGACAGGCTCGACGTAGTGCAAACCACACCCTTCGGAGTCGCCGACAGTTGCCCACCGCGCTCGGGCGCTTCGTTACTGACGGCTCATGGCCGCCCCAGATCATTGGATGGCATTTTTCGGTCGTTGTCGGTGGCGACCGATCGGCGTTCCAAACCGGTCCCGACCGATCGCGGCAGATTCCCCAGGCGGTCGCGACCGATCGGTCGCGACCGATTTCGGAGCAAACCGGTCGCGATCGTGTGCCGAAATTTGAAGCAATATCGGTAGCGACCGATTTCGTCGGTCGCGACCAACAACATGTAGGAATGGTCAGGTCAGGGGCGGCAGCTGCGTGTTGGCCGGCGCGGGAGGAGGATGGGAGACCGAGGGTTCATGTCGGGGGTTGCTAAAAGTGTCCCTGGCCCGAGGTGCCCCACGAATTTCCAAGGAAACCCCCACGGCCTCACGAGCACCCCTCGCGAAGCCCAGAGGGCCCCCTGGGGCTCCTGAAGGCTTCGAATGGCTGGAGGCACCTTGGGCCAAGACCACTTCTCGCAACTCCCGATCATGTGTGGGGGGCAGTCCGAGGTTGGTAGAAACCTCCCTCTGCCGAGAGTCGATTGGCGAATTGCCCCCTCCTAGTTTTCGATAGGGCGATGCAACTCAGTTTTTTGCCAGCTTGCTCCCGCCGGGTCTGGTCCAGGGCCAGTTTTTTTCTACCAAAGGGGGTTCTGCCCCCTCCTCCCCCAACGAGGAGGGCTCAATTCTCAACCCGAGAAACGAGGTCTCAACCCTGGAAGGCTGAGCTGCCGACAACCCTGGAAAATGCTATTCCCCAACGTGTTCCCAACCCCAGCAACGGAAAGGCCGAGTACTGGGAACGGAACGGTCGCGCAGTGGAAACGGAAACGGTAATGTATGTTGGGGTAGCTACAAGGGAAGCGTGTTGGGTGGCATATCCGCGGCTGGAGTGATGTTAGGGTGCTCCGAGTGCCCGCTGTTCGTCCGGGTGGGGTTCTCCATGAGAGGGCGGTGTGTTGCAATTGAACGAGGGTTTTAGGGAGAAGCGAGGGGAGGATGAGGAGGGGGATGGGAGGAGGAGGAGGAGGAGGAGGAGGAGGAGGAGGAGGAGCAGAAGGAGGAGGAGGAGGAGGAGAAGGAGGAGGGGTGAAGAGGAGGAGGAGGTTGAGGAGGAGGAGGAGGAGGAGGAGGAGGAGGAGGAGGGGGGAAGAGGGAGGAGGAGGAGGAGGTGGAGGAGGAGGAGGAGGAGGACCGTCCGACACGCTATCCACGTCGTGGTCCCCACGCCTCCCGCCACGCGGAGCGGGGCGGCACGCCGCCCACTCGCAAGGCATCGCATGTCGCCAGGGCCGCCGTGGCGACAAGCTATCCGAAAGTTCCCGACCGTCGGTCATCACATGCTGACCACGCCTTCCCTGCCCACAGGACAGAACAGTCGTCGTCCATGGGGGGAGGGGTGCGTCATTCCGATCTCCGCATGTTTAGTATTTGTTCCCTGCCGGGGAAGCGAACTGGCAGGTGTTCCTTCAGATCTCGCGTCGGCGCGCTGATTGTGCTCTCAGTCCCGGCGCATGTGACTTTAGCCAATCTTAATCCCATACCGTTGTTCGCCCATATCCATCACCCTGGGAACCAAGTGCCCAAGACTTCGAGGGGCAGTGGATACGGATACATTCAGGCCCCATGGGCCATGGTGCCCACCGCCATGGGTCGTGGGACATCGGCTCCCGACGTGGCGGATATGTGCCGCCTCGTTGGAGAGTAAATCACGGAAGCTTCCGCTCGTGTTGGATTAAATGTATATAGGCGAATAGCGCCTAATCGTGGTCAAAATAGCGCCAAACAGCATTCAGTTGCGCCCCGCAGAGCTCAAATATGGCCCAAGAGCGACCACTGGCGATCAATAGCGCCATGTGAGGGAGATTCTGTCCCCTTTGCGCGACACGGGGGCGACCAACAGCTTCCGTGAGTTGCTTTCTGAGGTGTTCGTTGCCTTCAGCCGGCCCGACCTCCCGAGCCAGTCAAGGCCTGCCACAGTCAGCCTTGATCCGCGCCCGCCGGCCGACGCCTGACGCGTGACTTCCGAAAAGTTGTTGGCCGCTGGCTGCTGCACGCAGCGGCGCTTCTGCTGCGGATGGGTCGGCAGCGGCTGGCACGGGGAGCTCTCCTTCAGATCTGGGCGTTGCAGCTTTTGCTTTACCCTTGGCGTTTGAGCCCAGTTTCGGGCCCCCAGAACCCTCGTAGATCGATCTTGCTCGATCTATGACAGAGCTCTGGTCGTCATTCTTGGCAATGTTCAGAACAAGAAAATATAACAACTAGAGGAATTAAAACCCAAAGCTCAGTGTCAGATCACAGGGACGCACGACCCCGGGACCCAGGGAGACCCCTGCTCTCAGGATCGATGCGCGTGCCCTCCCGGCCGGGCTGGCGAGTGCGAGGGCACCGATCCTTGGCCCTGGATGGGCCTGGTCAGGGTCGGTGTGGAGCGCGGTTACCGTCCGCTGGCGCCTGTCGTTGTCCTCTCTCCCCGTTCTCGTACCCAGATCATTGGATACCACCGGTTTTTTTCGGTCGCGATCGGCGGCGACCGATCGGCACTCCAAATTGGTCGCGACCGATCGCGACCGATCCCAGAATCGATCGTGACCAGTCGCCACCGATCGGTCGCGAGCGATTGGTCGCGACCGATTTTGAAGCACATCGGTCGCGGCTGGTACCGACATTCGAAGCAAAATCGGTAGCGACCGTTCTCGTTGGTCGCGATTGGAAAAGTCCAGTATCCAATGATCAGGGTATCCCCGCATCCTCGCCTTCCCTTCCGCCCCGTCCCCCCTCCCAATCTCGGACGAGGCTGGGCGGTCGTCCTCCTCCTCGTCCTCCTCCTCCGCGTCCTCCCCTTCTCTTTCGCAATTGACCGTAGAGCGGCGGTCGTGATCATCATCGTCATCATCACCATTGTCGTTATCATCATGATCATTATTATCAGCATGACCACCATCCGCGTCACTCTAGGCCTCCTAGATGTGAGCCGATGGGCTCGATCTGGATGTGGAGCGCGATTTGCTCCACATCCAGATCGAGCCCATCGCCGATGCGGCTCGATGTGGAGCCCGATTTGCTCCAAGTCGACGTCGCCAGTGCATCGCCGATGCATCACCGTTGCATCGCCGATGCATCGCCAATGTATCGGCGATGCGGCGCGATCCTCCGACCCTGTCTGCTCCGACCCCATCTAGGAGACCTCTAATCACTGTCATCAAGATCACCATCAGCATCATCACCATCATCATCACCACCATCACCAACATCAGGATCATGATCATCACCATCATCACCTATGACCACGTAGGCATCTTCTCAATAACATGGCATATTTTCATCTTCTCAACATATTTCGTATCGAAAACAAGTTGGCGAACGTATGTGCGTTTTTATTTCTTGTTGCAAGAAGCGATTGTGTTGTGTTCTAAATATGGCAAACCGATCGACATTTGCCATGCGGCTGGCAAACCTATTAAACCAGTTCAGAGTGAGCTCCCGCATCGATAGATCGATTGTTGCCCCTATAGAGCGCCACGTCGGCCTTACTATATATATATATATATATATATATATATATATATTGTTTTTTTTTAAAAAAAATTTTAAAAAAAAAAAAAAAAAAAAAAAAAAAAAAAAAAAAAAAAAAAAAAAAAAAAAAAAAAAAAAAAAAAAAAAAACGTGCGCGTCATACACGTAAATTGCCTTCCGATGGCACTGAAGACGGCGGCGACGATCGACGATCGACGATCGACGGCGACGGCGACGACAACAACGGCGACAACGACGGCGACGGCGACGACAACGACGACGGCGACGGCGACGACGACGGCGGCGACGAAGAAGGTGACGGCGACGGCGACGGCGACGGCGGCGACGGCGACGGCGACGGCGACGACGAATACGACGACGCCGTCGGATTCCATCTAGGGGAGTGGGGAGGCAGGAGGGAAGAA